TAGTTTTACATGGGTTTAATAAAGAGGAGAAAACTCTGATTTTTTTTTTGTTTATTGTAGTACAAATAAAATAAGAATTTGTTTCACTTGCCTTTGCATATAAGATTGAAATATTTAATAAAACAGCAGGTCTGGCAAAAACATAGCTTATTTAAGCTTCAGCTATAATATCAACTCAATAAACTGCAACATTCACAAATAGATACCTCAGTTTTATTACTCTATAAATAGTTATATCACAGACTGAAAATCAGCCTCATTCTCAAAGTCAACCTAAGAACAACTCATGCTTTACAAATAAAAAGAGAAAGGTATATGGCATACAATTCCTGTGCTGGGCAGAGTGATGAATTTCACCTTAAGAGAAAACATGATTTTTATTGATCAAATGTGATATATTAATCATAATCCTTGCAGCCAATCCACTTAATGCGATGTTTCATTTCAGAATTTGAAGGTTATATGCTTTTGTAATCTCTTCCTTTCTTCCCAGCCAAAATACATCCTGAGACAGTCACTGGGGGAGAGAGAACGGAGATGCATCGTCATCAAAACTGAAAAATTATGCAAATGTTTAGAAATAATATTTTTCCATTTTTTTATTTGTATTTTTATGGATTCATATGCTTTGCATCCAGTTTTTACAGCCAAGATGTTCACAATCTGTCTTAAAATGTGATTATTACTATTAATTTATACAAAAAATATCCTTAGACAAAGTCATATGAAATCTCTGAGAGAGGACACAAAAACATTTGCTTTTTCTTTGTCTTTTTTGAAAGCACATGGAAATCTAAAATATTTTCCAATTCCACTTACGACTGACATTTTTTCTGGGTTTTTTTGAAGAGTTTTGAAAGTGCAGATTTAAAAAAATATTTTAAGAAAATAATTAATAGTGAAAACATTTTAGTAAATATATTTTAAAACAAAGATTAAAATATTTTTGAAAATTAAAACATTTTAAAGGGTTAAATTTAGAAAGTGGAAATTATGTGAAATTATGTGAAATTATGTTAATGTATTTTTATTTTAATATTTCTGGCAAGTATAGATAACTGACCTAGTAACAGATTTGTTTATATTGATAGTATTTCAGAAATTAAAAAATATACCTTCTACAAATTTACCAGCAAGATCAACTTGGGCAAGGGAAATGGCACTATGGTCTTTAAACTCTCAGCCCTAAAATTTTGTGCCTTGCAAATGGACTATGCTGTCTCCATACCAAAATACCTGCCAAGCCCTCTGTGCCTCTTACTGCCTTGTCAGATATTACACCACCAGAAAGTATCTGGCTTTGGGTATGGTTCCTTTTAGCAGGAGAAATAACATAGGCAGAAAAAGAGAGTAGAACACAAAAAGCAAACCAAACACACATACACACAAAACAAAACAAACAAAAAAAAAATTAAAAAAAACCCAAAAGGCAAAAAGCCCAACTACTAAAAAGTCTCCCCCCCAAAACCAAAAAGGCAAAGGAATGCTCCACCCCCCCCCCCAAAAAAAACCCATCCAAATCCAGCCAAAGTGCTTCTATACCATAAAAGGAAGAGAGTAGAATATGAAATGCCACCAAAACTGAGATATGTCTGGGCTTCTTACAAATATCACAGCCATCTATGTTTGGAAAGATTATTTCCTTGGCTCGTACTATTTGAAACTATTGGATTGACATTGGACCAGCAGTCCATATTAAAAAAAAATCTCCTGGAAATGTTCTTATATTTTTTTGGGTTTTTTTTTCATATCATGTGGAAAATCTTATGCTTTCAAGTACAAAACACTTTGATTTTAAATTATACACAGCAACCACATTAGCAAAAAGAGAAAGGAGAGTTCTCAGCAACAGCTCCAAAAATTTTCTTTGTAAACGAAAACTCCATCTGGTCTCCAACTCACCTCACAGTGTTTGGTTTGCATCTGCAACTGAATGCTAAAGCTAATGCTTAGGAAAATCTTCCTCTGAAGGCAGACCGACACTGTGACTTTGTAATGATATTTATAAGTTGTGGAAACACCTGATTCTGAAGTATTTCTCTATATAACCGTGGAGTTATGTGATAAACCAGAGAGTCAAAAAGGCAGAAGACAATGGGTTTAACTGGGGGAAGAAAAGATCAAGTAAGCAAAAAACAAGTCTTACTACAGCTGTCAGACCAGATGTTTCAGCTACACATTGGCAAGTGACAAACTCAAGGTTACAATTTGTTATGTATCCTTACCTGAACAAAAAAGGAAAACAAATATTGGTGTTTCTAACACATTTTAAGCTAATCACTATTTTGATATATGGAAACAGAACCTTACAAATCTCTTTTGTAGAATTTATAATTAAGCACATTTCACATGACTTGATTTTTTTTCTACTGTAATGAACTTACTTTACAGACCTTGAAATCTGGATTGCAGCTGCAAAGAATGTCACACTTCAGCTAATGACAGAAGCCTAGTTCAGGGTAATATTAGCAACACTATGGTAAAATATTACAATAGAGGCCATTTAAAGTTTATAAAATGTAACAGAATATATTAGAGAGACATGTGGGCTTAGTTTTCCATTCATGCAGATGTAATTCCTTAGACCTCCATGTCTCATCTATAACTGTATGCAAGAAGAACCAGGTCAAAACACTCCACAGAGCAACACATAGATTTGGGTGTTTGACTATCAGACTATAAATAGATAATAGTGTACCTAGGCTTCAGTTCAGTTCCAGAAGGATTTTAATCTCTGCTGTCAATGGAAGCTGAGCTGAACCTTGACTTTTAAACTCACATTTGCCTTTTGCAAATTAACCTCTCTTACCAAATGAACATAAAATAAAACATTGGTATTGCGCTTCTATACATATATGCTGGTATGACAAAATGTTAGCAAACTCAACTACCCTTAATTGTTATTAAATATTGAGACAGTATTATAAGACACAGGGTCATTACATGATTAATGAGTAATAATGACAAATAATTATTCATTATCTGAAATGTTAAATGAAAATCAATACCCATAGTGGTTAGATTAAAAGGTTCATAGCATTTGAACCATAGGGATCTTCTGATCTCAAAAGCACATGAACCAGGGGAAATCTGTTGCATTTAGTATAATTAGTTCATTATGGATGACCTAAGAACCAGGTCCAAAATCTTCGTACAAACTGGAAAGCATTCAGGTTTATAAATACCTCAAGCAATGTAAGTTTTTAACCACTTGGAGGGAAAAGTATTTGCTTATGGCATGAACACACATTCACAGCTGTTGCTGGAACGGTTTCCAGTAACGGAACTAGTTTATCACAATAACTGTTAATACTTTATTCCCTATTCTGCTAATCCCATTTTCTGTTTTATTTTAACTGACTGCAAGATCTCTGCAAAGTTTAGAGCCCTGTTGGGCTTTAAAGCTTTAGGTCAGTTTTCAGCATTTTTATAAGTACAGTCACATGGTGTCAGTTATTCTAAGAATCTGTTTGAAACCACTTCAGTTCGGCCCAGCACTGACCTGTTCTGAAGTAGAGTCAGTGGAAAGGTTTTGATAATGTATTGATAATTGTACCCCTGGCTGAATTCATGTCAAAATAAATATATATGTTGTATCACACAGAATCATAGAATAGAATCATAGAATCATCAAGGTTGGAAGAGACCTTTAATATCATACAATCCAATCCAGCACTACCCCTGTAACCCCTAAACCACTAAACCAGACCACCTAGTGTCAGATCCAGACACTTCTTAAACACCTCCAGGGCTGGTGACGCCACCACCACCCCGGGCAACAGATTCAAATGCCTGACCACCCTAACAGTGAAAAATCTTTTTCTAATATCTAATCTGAATCTCCCTTGTCTCACTTTAAGGCCTTTTCCTCTTGTCCTCTCGCTGCAGGCATGGTAGAGGAGAGCAGCCCCCACCTCACCACAATCTCCTTTTAGGGAGATGTAGAGAGCAATGAGGTCCCCCTGAGTCTCCTCAAGACTAAACCAACCCAGCTCCCTCAGCCATTCCTCCTAAGACATGTTCTCTAGTCCTTTCATGAACCTTGTTGCTACTCGCTGGACACACTCCATGTCCTTTTTAAAGCTGAGGAGCCCAGACCTGGACATAGTACTTGAGGTGTGGCCTCACCACTGCTGAGTACAGGGGAAGAATCACTTCCTAGTCCTGCTGGCTATTCTATTCCTGATGCATTCCAGGATGCCACCAACCCTCTTGGCCACTTTGGTACACTCTGGCTCGTGTTCAGCTGGCTGTCAACCAGCACCCCCAGCTCCTTTTCCACTGGGCTGCTTTCCATCCACTCTGACTCCAACCTGTAGCACTGCATGAGGTTGTTGTGGACAAAGTGTAAGATCCAGCACTTGGACTTGTTGAACCTCATGACATTTGGATCAATGAGCTAAGGGATCTCTTTAAAACCTACAGTTATTAAGGTGGAGGCAACTTTTTTCCACTCTGGACCAAAAATTTATTGAACCTAAATTTTTATGGAGCTCTTGAAGGAGGTGGCATGGTTCAGTTTCATTTTAACTACGGGTCTGTTGTGGCTCATAGCACAGTTCACAGCAGCTCAGTTGACCTCCAAATCACTGATTTGAAATTTAAGCAGACTTCAAGTTAAGCCTCTAAATTACACAGATAAATTTTTTGAAAAGAGGGGTATACTCCCCTGTTACAATTTCTGTTCTAGCTCATCCTCTGAACCTCTCTGGGGTTGCAGGTTGTGGGAAAGACCCAATGATCCTCCTGCTCCTGCTCCTGGGTTTGCATTGCTGAGTCCTGCCTTACCTTCAGTAGTGATTCCTAATCTATCCCTCTCATTCCTTGGTCTCCAAGGTCCTCTGGCCTCCTTGCATGTGTACTACCTGCTGTGCATGAGATGTGCTACACCTGCCAGCTATAGCATTCATCTTACCCAGTGTATCAAAACACAGATTTTTATCTATGAAGGATTATTAAATATGTTCCCCAGGGTGGCATGAACCCAATGCAACACACTGTTTTGGAGGATATTGAATTTATTTCCCATGATGGAAAAGGTCTTATATCTCACCTGGGGTTTTATGCTACCACTGTACCCCAGACTGATGAGGTCATTTCTTTAAGAAGAATCTCATGGCAAGAACACTTGAAATAAAAGAAATGAAAGTGTTTTTTAAGAGCAATAACATTTTAATTCAACCATTTAAGTCTAATGTTCCCAGCATGGAGACCCTCATCCCAGACTTCTAGTAAAGTCAGCCGGGGAGGTTCATTTGTAGAATACAACCCCCCAATCATATCTTAACATAAATCATATGATTTAGTTTTCATGGAGGAGAAAAACTGTGATAGAAGACCTTGCTTTGCTTTTTCTTATGAAGTGGGCGAATGTGATGAGAGTTATCTGACATTCAGTAATTGAAGTACTACGTCACCACTGATGAATAGATCCTTTGCCAGTGCATAAAAATGCAGCCCACCTGTTATTCCACAGCCTTGGTGTGGTTCCATTCATTTCCTTAATGTCCAAGTCAGAGAAATGGGACTTTGTGGACTGATAAAAATCTAATAAGGAATAACTGGGCAGGTTCTGGCTAGAGACAGCATAACCCTACAGCCAAGAATATTAAGTATCCCTGTACTTTATATGCAGCAGTTTAATACTCCCCCCATATTTCCTTTTAGTAGTCTTAATTGGCCTTAAAATCAAGGTACCCAAATTGATGAGCCTCTTGTGAAATGCCTGGCCTACATTTTTTTGCAGCAAAAATACCAAAAAGTTCTCTGCATGTTCTCAAAGTACTGTACAACTGGTTAGTATCTTCAGCATCAGTCTATCTGCTGATTAAAGGTCCTGTGCTGAGAAATTCCCTTCTCCCCACAGATGTATTTTACAATATTTAGCACTCAGTGCTTTACACTATCAAAGCATTGTATGCATGCTATCTAATATCTCCTAATTAACCCATACATCTCCTATTAAAAAAGCATCTAAAATTAATGTCATACGGTCCCGCTGGCTTTTGTACAACACATGCAAAGGCAGCTTTGGGGTTTTACAAGAAACGCGGGTAAGCTGAGATTCCTTTCTGAAATCTGACAAACACATACTCATATCTGACTTTGAACAGAGAGGAAATGAACAACGATGCAAATTGGACCTTCACAATTATAGATCTGCGACTGAATGTGCACACAAACACCAGCATGGGCAAGGGCTTCAGAGCCAACAGTTTTGGTCCCTTAATGAGGCGCACATCAATTGCACGGGTTTCCCACAGATTTTGCTCCCAAGTTCTGTAGAATGCATGAGAAACAAGTAAAGTCTGTCGTTTTGGTATCCATCAAAGCTCTCTTCCATGTGAGGAAGTGGCTAATTTGTCATTTCACACTCAGAAAGGCGTGAAAGGCAAAACGGAGGGAGGTTAGATGGAAGAGGGAGGGCTGTGACTCATATGAGGAGACAGTAGGCCTGATTTTGAGCTTGTGTTTGTTGCTGCATATCAGGAATAAAATCAATGAAATCATATTGATGTAAAGTAGACAAGAATGAGGCCAGTGTTTCTTACTTATGTGGAAAAATTTACATTATTAAACCCAAAACACAAACCAAGGAACAAGGAACAATTTACAAATGAAGTTATGTCATATAGCAAATTTCTAACTTACAAGTTTTATTTACACATGGACATCTCTTATTTAATTATAATAAAAGTATTAATTCCAACAATGCAAATTTTCAACTTAAAATACATAGGACCTTTGAGAGAAAATCCCAAAGAATGCACACATCTGAGGAATGTCAGCTCTGTGTTAAGAGCACTGGTCTCAGCAACTAAATATTTTCCCTCATCGTCTTTCATTTTAGCCTTGTTGTTGTCTTTTAATCTTCTTTTCCTCTGTATAAAACAAAGCCAGCAAAGGGCCAGAGAAACAGTCAGAGTCAGACGTTTTGAGACATAGGAGAGGTGTAGGCAGGAATCCCATTATCTGTTAATAGGATTTGTGCACATACCTCCCATGGACCACTTAGGAAATTTACTCCCAAACATCTCGGTGGCAATTTCAATTAGAGTCAACATTTCATTTCAGCAGATGGACTGCAAACTGGTGGCTACTCAAACTCTAATGAGTAATGCTCAATAATTCCCCTCTCTTAAACCATGATTATGCTTTCACTTTTTTATGGGGAGAATGAATACTGTCCCTAAGCCAAAACTTAATTTGATTTTTTGCTGTGCCTCTGTGCTAGCAAAGCTCACCCATGTGCCTGTATAGAAGCCCAGTGGGTAAATTAGAGGGTATTTTTGCAGATCTGTCACACATTTCTACCATGCTTCTTATTTAGAAAGATGCCAAAGGACTGGAAATACATCTGCCCTCCCCTGAAATGCAGCCACCTCTGGGGTGGAACGTGGCAGCAAATATTAACATGAGAACACAGACACTAAATCCTATGTGAAAATTATGCAGGAAGTACAGAACACAGCTCACGCAGCCTCAGGCTACCCAGGAATTAGCTAAAAGTGTACATCTTTTCTAATGAATACATTTGAAATTATTGCCTGGTGTGTGGTACTCCAATAAGGAACATCTCATTTGGTACTGAATCCCATTGTACAGTCTCACACAGATTAATAGTGGTGGCAAGTTTTCTGATTTCAATAAGCGGTACTAATTCATAGGCAAGATGCACAAAACCAGAACACAGTATTTTTTTTCTCACGGAAAATGTCCTTTCTTTAAATAGCATTTACAAACTACGTCGATGGTGGCCTGGCTGGCTCATGGTGCCTTCGGTTTCGCTTTTTTTTCATCTCCTGCACATGCTTCCATTTGGCACCACCTTTGTTCCGCTGCCGCCGCTTTTCCCGGTGCCACATCTGTTCACAGTATTCATCCAGGCTGAAGCTGGGGCTGCTGACGAGCTGGATGTAGTCCTTGTACCTCAGCCGGGACTCCGTCAGCAAATCCCTCACCCGGCCCTCCTCATCCTCAGTTTTCTGAGTGCTTTCCATTTGTCCATTCTCAATGACATTTAGATTCAGCTTCACGATGGTATGGATGAAGGTGTGCTCCTGGGCTTTGCAAAAATAGGCTCCAGCATCCCTTCTTTGCAAGCTGCGGATCAGCAGCCCGTGCTCTGTTTTAATGATCCTTTCATCAGCCTTCAGCTGTGGGGTTGGACAGAAAAGAGCACAATAGATGAGCATCATTGTCAAAACAAGAATGTCATCACTATGCTGAGAGGGAGGGAAGGCTCATCTGGCACACAGCATGGCCTGTCCCTAAGGTGCCAGTACCTCACAGACCTGTGCAGCTGGGACAGACACCAGGAGTTCCTTTCAAGGTCTGAGTTCTGTTCCTAACTATAGCATCTGGATCATGGACATTCAGCATGCAGTAGCAAAAGACATATGCTGTACAGCTGACAGGACAGACAGTAATACTCATCACACCACAGTGCAGTGAGCAAGGCTGCATTCTCCAAGGAAGGGTAGCTATGTACTGCCACAAATTTTATTAATTTTTTAACTGCTCCTTTTGAGGGACCTGTAATACACCCAAAATACCATCATGCTTATATATATCTGGAGTGCTGAGGCCCTGTTACAATGAATATGAGTACTTTTACTGATTTTTAAAGTGAAATGCTATGATTCTGATCTTCTTCAACCAGGTTTTGCAAAAGAAAGTTAATCCCGGCTTTGACTCACTTAGTTGTGATTAAAACAGGCAATGAAGTTGGATGGACACAACCAAGTACAGTTCTTTTATTTTTAAGATCTGTGAGAAATAATAGAAAAATAATAAGAAAAGAAGAATAAGAGAAAAATAAGAAAAAAAAAAAAGCAAAGAAAAGAATAAGATTGCAAGTGAGAACTGAAGTCTGTCAGCATGGAGCTGTAATTTCATTTACAAATGGAAATATTAAAAAAAAAAAAACAGGATCTCATATGTTAAAAATAAGGTGCACCTTAAGACTAATAACAGTCAGGTAAGTTACATATCTGGTGATCTACAATTGATTTCCAAAAAAACCTAAGCCAAAAAATAGCACGCCCCCCCAAAAAAAAAAACAAACAACAAAGCAAAACAAAACAAAACAAAACAAAAAAACAAAACAGGATGGGGCACTGGGCACTTAAGTATTTCGGCAGCTGGGAAACATAGAAGGTAAATGATTTGCCAAAGACCATATAAAGATTAGTAGTAGAGAGGTAGCAGCAGAAACCAGAACCCTAACTCCCAATTTCCAACACCAGCATTTCCTTTGAAAACGATCCCGGTCTAGTCCAAAGCTGTTCCCTCCCAGGCGTGCTGTGTTCTGCTGCCACACAGAGGCTGCAGCACAACCAGCACCCACGGACCTGGAGGGTAGCCTCAGCACTGCTGGTGGCACCAGTAGCATGGAGAAAAACTTCAGCTCAAGACTGAGTAGTGGGTTTAAGAAGGGAGTTGTGGAGGCAGAGAGAACCAACACAGAATCTGGAAAATTTCCCAGAGTGCACATCTGACCCTCCAGCAAACTTCAGAGGATGAAGATCAGGGAGGCATAAAGATGACTAAATTAGATTTATTCACAGTGGGTAAGCTACACAGTGTTTCTTTATGTAAAAAATCTGCACATGATTCCCTCTGCTACTCCATGGGAAAAAATTTATACATACATATGATTCTCCATCTGTTATGATTCTAACTCACAAGTACTTTATCATAATAGAGTCTCTTGGAGCAAAGAGATGGATGAGTTGACCTTCTAGGGCTTTTAGCTTTACCCTCTTCTAAGTTTCTATGACAATTACTTTGGAAGGATTAAAATATATGAGAGACCATATATGAGAGAAAAAAAAAAATACACATAGATATAATATATCCAGAGAGAGAAACAGAGAGAAAGACTTTTTCTTCCTACTGTTTCAGCTTTAACAGTTTTCAATAACATACAGATTAGACAGGTATGTAGGTAAGTAGGTGTGCAAGTAGATGGATAGATATATGGATGGATGGGTAGATGGATGGATGGATGGATGGATGGATATAGGCCTATGTACTGCCACTGATACAACTGCAGCAGAGACAAGAAGCCTGGTCAGATCATGGCTCTGACTGCCTGTTTCTGTGGCCAAATATTTTTTTGGTTCCTGCCTTCAGTTGACAGTTTTGGGTCAACCCAGAACTTTAATTTCGTTGTTTGTAAACTGTATATAAGTCTGCCTACTTGGCACCAGGAGGGTGAAATCATACAAATTTCAGGAAATTCCTGGAAAATCGATTGTCCTGACAACAGGTGCTACATGACAAAAGCTACTTCTGATTTATCACGCTGAGTTTAAACCAGAGAAATCATGGTAAAGCCAGAAGCACATGCACAGAAGATAACAGAGAGGTAGACTAGAAGAGGTCATGCTTCCATCTGTAGAACCCATAGCATAGGGCACTAGTCCTCAATTTAGTCAGCTGGTGACACTTCAGTCTAAGTAAATGTACTTTTCTGCTGTAAAAACAGGAGCATAAAATGTATAAATTAATCCACAAATAAGGAGGTATAGGCCGAAATATGTCTAGGACAGATGTTTCCTTGTGGTGCTGTGGTTCACAGGGAAATGCAGGAGCAGGGGCCAGGTGGAAGTGCTTGGAAGCCTGGCTGTTGCAATACAACAAGGAAATCCCTCCTTCTTCTGCCCAGGCTTCATGTCAACATGAAGACCCAAGTTTGAGAAATTTAGGAAAAAGCATGGGAAGCAGCAAACTTCCAGACATTTGGGTTTCATAAGGCACTGTGCAAAGCCCAAGTTCCCACATTGTCTGAGTGAAAACAGGACTGATCTCTTTGAGCTTGAGGCTTGATGCAATCGCAGCAGTAGCATCTGCCTGTTGGTGGCTCTGCCAGTATTGTAGTCTAGAGCGTCTTGACAGCTGTGTACCTTCTACACTTGGAAATTCTCCAGCTGGCTGCTTTGGCTGGCTGGGTGCCAGTCCAAAGCGCCCTCACTAGGGCCTCATCTATTTTCAGTGAAAGAAAGGCAGAATAATGGCAGATCTAGACTTGAAAAGATTGTTGGACCCCCAAGTCCAGCGCCCTGTTACTCACAACTATTTACCATTTGTGTAGCAGCCGACACTTTTCTAGTCATAAATGTGTTGACTGATGGAGCTGTCCCCCATATGCCTTGGGATACTGCAGAGAAAGCTAACACTCTAAATTGGTTGTGTCCCTTAATCCCAGCCCAACATGACTCCTATTTTTAATGAAGCAGTGTTCTTAAACAATGTCCTGTGTTAACCTTGGATATTGATTTAGAGTGACTGTCACCTCCTCCTCTGTGCCTTCATTGTTCATTCCTTTCTTATCCTCTGGCAGGATAAAATTATGGCTCTGATTTCACACATATTGAGCAACACTTCATTACTGCTTTCCCCCCTCACTTCTCATTTTGGTATCCTGTTTATGTTGTTTTACCCATAGGTTCAGAACTCCTCCTGTCTTTCCTCTCTACTTTCTCCCCACAGGGCTCTGGAGTTTCATAAACACCTGGCATTTCATTACTTGGTAGTAGATCTTTAACCTTTCACTTGAATTCCTAATGTGGTCTTTGGTTGCTGACCTATAGATGTAAAACATATTTCATTAAATTTTGAGGAGACTGAAAAGACTAATTAGATAAAAGACATCATTTTGTTTTGGTCAGCTGTGGATTCACTGTTTCATCCCCCTCCATCTCAAAATCAGTAAATCTTCTAAAATATTTGTAAACAGGTTTTAACAATTCAAAAGTACAAAGGCTTTAATTCATAAAAGCTTGCTGACACGTGCCTAAATGTGAGCATATAATAAAACTTAAACATGAGAGACAGAGTGTTGTTCCATAGGTAACACATTATAAACCACAAAATAATGAATCAATTGATTACCATTAGCTTTCTTTTCTTAGAGAAGTATGAACAGATTTTTTGACAATATCATATCAACAAATTGTACTTTTCATCCTTCATGATAAGCACATAAGTTTGTCAAAGATTACACTACCTGAATTGGGGCACACACCATAGATACTGGCAATATCAGACAAATCTAACAATTGATTTTCACAACCTGAATTTAACAATGGAGACAAAAATAGGCATTGCCAATAATGATGGCAAATCTTTAAACCATCAGTAAGTTGGAAAACAACTAAGGATTTGAAAGTGCTGTGGCACCAGGTTAGGTCAATGCTTTTTGTCCTTTGCTAATGATGTGTTTAGATAGCCCCCTCTTTACAAATAATTCACATGTCAACTCTTTCACAGTTAAAACACTGCACCTGTCTGGGAGAAGAAAGTGGCTTCAAAGCCTGCCTTCCCTCATTAATCACTATGTGAAAAAATGTTAGAGGTAAAGCTGGACTAATCATGGGTTAGCTGCAACCCCTGAACAAATTGAGAGGGTGAGAAAAGAAAATGAGGAACATTTGCTGAGAATTCACATTCATCTTTGTTTTTCTATTGTTCTCTTCTTCATCCTCATCATTTGACTGGAAATAAAGATCACTCTAGGGTTTTTTCTGACATTACTGTTACACATGACTTTGTTTCTTTTGTATGGGAAAATAATCATTTAGCTCCAACACAGCTGTAGAGTTAATTTTTTTTTCTTTATCTTTTTTTTTTTTAACATCTTTTTTTATTTACCAACAGCCTCAGGAAAAATGAAGAACGTGTTGCTGGTACAATGTCATTATGAAAATGCATGATTCCAATTAGTTTCAAGGTGAAGCTTTTTCTGAGACTAAACTTTAATCTCCTACCCCCATAATATATCCAAATCAAACTAGAAATGTCACATGCTATATCTCAGTTCAGAATTACTTCTTTTTCCATGAAACTGTAACAAATATTAGTCTTACTTAAGAAACTCAAGGTATTAGAAAAAAAAAGCCAGTGAGTCATATAATAAAATAAAAGGATGAAAGCATGAGAGCTATAAGTAGTCCTTCGGCTGCAGAATGAATCTCTTTTTTTTTTTTTTTCCCATTCTCTTGAGCTCTTTCTCATTGACCTAAGGATTCAAACACTGAATTACCCTCCTCTGACAGAAGGTACTACTGTATTCCTTGCTGTATGCCCTCTACCTTACTCAGCAATCATCCAAATCTTAGATTTCAAGGCTGGCACTGAATCTGTGGCCAGATGCTGCTGACCAGATGTTTGTAACAAAGGAAGTCACTGTCATGACGCAAAAAACCTCCAGACACAAAAAGATATGGAAACTTCTATCTTGGATAAACTGAAAGAACTGCCTAAAATGTGGGAGGAAACAACATCTCTTTACTCCAATGGGGACACGAGGTCACAATGTTGCATCTTGCAAAATGGCCTGTCCAAAAGTGAGTCAAAGTCTTCTATCTACCAAAACATCAGATGGTCATTAAGTTGGAAAACACAGCCTGGACTGTGGGAAAGGAACATGGAAAGGGTGAGAACTGCTGAAGAAGAAACTGGAACGTCCTCACGCATTTTGGTGGATTTATTTTCACCCCCAGTTATGACTAGAGCAGAAAGAAGAGAGTTAAAAGTGATCTGCACCTATTCTGTCATTTTAGACCATATGGTTTGTTCTGTGCCCTGCCAGGGGAGGTGGCAGCTTGGTAGATCTGGAGCCACAAGACACTCAGGGTGAAATGCAGCCTAAAGCTGAGGAACTAATGTTTTTCAGAGCTGTGAGGCACCAAAACTAATGACTTTATAGGGAGCCATGCACTTGGTTTTTGCAGTCCTGACACCTATTATATACATAAAATAACACAGGAATTTTTTTGAGAAATAAGTAGTATCTGTTTTAAGCTTCAGAGAGCTTCAGCAGTTTAAGACATTATGAACAGATGACGTCCCCAGAGTTTTTTATGAACTCCAGGCACTGAAACACTCTCCGTCATCTCAGTGACTAACCCTGCACGCACAGGAACAAACATGATCAATTGCGTGAGCAACACTAACCACAAAAGCACTAGATATTTGACTCCTGACCTTAAAACGGCCCTAAACTACAGGGAAATGTACTCCCACTGGCAGGAAAATGACCTGGTGACAGCTTCTGTACCACAGGAGATCCTGTCCCTCCCCACAGGTTGCTCTGCCTGGAAGTTACATTCTGAACCGTGACCTTAAGGGTGAAATGTCGGGGACATCCTGCTGGGCCGAACGCTTCCCATCCAGTCTGGATTTTGCCCTTTTTCTTCCCTCAGGAAGCTGCAGTGCATGTCTGGGACAGTGCAAAGCCATCTATTTGTAAAGCCAAGTTTAAAGACTTGCTGAGACATTACAGTTCCAGCCCTGGAACTAAAAGTCCGTAACCTAAGTTCCAGGTGCATGGAGTCATTTGTAAAGCATGGTATCGTCATCACAATAACTTACACAGCAAAGACATGCATTAAAAGAATGTACAGTGTTATTTGAGAAATCTGCTGCAGGAAGGGAGAGAGAGAGAGCAGAAAATATAATTGTAATGGGAAAAGTTCTGGTAAGGCATTGGTTGAGCAAAGATCAAGTTATACATTAAATATGACCACACTGTTTCTGTCACATATGGTATTTTTGTCAAACTGAAGTACTTTGAAAAGAAAGTCAATGACTCTGATCTTTGGATTTGCTAGGAAGGCCTCCAGTTAGGCTTTTATACCAATTAACTCATTTTCACTGATAAGTTGTTAGAAAAACCTCAGTTTATAGATCCTCAATTTATAGATCCTCAAATTATCAAGTGATTAACATTTAACCACTTAACCCTTATTCCATCGAATAGAAAGAGAGAGAGCGTTCAGCATCTCTACAGACCTGGTCATTTAGACACCCCCATAAGAAATTAGGAATTTAACTTTAGGCATATGAAAATATGTAATTTCTAGAATAATATTTATCTTAAAAAGTAAACAAAACCCTTTTATTTCTTCTAAAAATGGTATGTGCAAGCTGAGTTTGCTGAGGAGTTCAAATTCTTAAGACCCTGAAACTAACCTAGGTCAAAATTGTTACTATTAGAATTTTCAGGCCCTAAATCTTCGTTTGTGAAGCCTAGCCATGATGATGATAGAGAATTTTCAGGCAAGACTCAAACAAAACTAACAGCTATACACTGTCTTTAAGTGACATGACCCTCTAATCATCAATGTGTGCCTATGTATATCTATGGGCTGTTATCTTCAGACTGAAAAAGAAGCCCCAAAAAAATAAACACTCCACAACAAATAAAATAACCCCAAGGAGCTGAAGAACACATGTTCCAACTTCTATTTTATCACAGCTAGATCACAGAAGCACTGCTATGGGTTTAGGTACAATATGTGTTAAAAAGGTATTTGTCTACTTTTACCATTTATAATGTAAGAAATCTGTGCAGATCTCTCCTTCAAAATTTCTTCTAAATTTGCTTCAAAGGTTAATCTAGCCTTTTAGCAAAGATTTACTTTTCTCATACAAACTGACGTCAGACTGTTTATACAGAGCAAGCCCAGTAAACACTGCTGTAGAAGGCTGCTAATGTGCAAAAATTAATGCTGAGCACTTGCTGGAGCTTCAGATGCCCTCCCACATGTGCACACATTCCCCAACTCCCCCTCAATGTGCACATCCTTGGCATACTGGGCAGTCCTGCAGTGTTGAACATCACCATGCCTGAGTAAGTGGCATTTGGATCAGAACGAGTAGAAGGGGCCAAGTCACTGCCATAACACTTTTGGAAATACAAAGTGTGGAAAAAAAAGTATAGCCTTAATTCAGGCGATGGTATATATGTTAGCCTGCCATAACTTCGTTCAAAAGTTGGCTTGATCTGCAGTTTGTTCTACAATCAAATAAGAAAGATTGTTGGAGCTTGGTTTCATAACCTTCAGAAGCCTATCTGAACCTGTGATTTATGAGAAAATCAACTGATAATATTTTTTTCCCTAAACTGACACAGATAAAACTTAGAGGCAGCCCTTAAAAAGAGGCTTTCAGGTCTCGAAAGTGTGATTTCTTATGATATGGAAATACTACATTCTTCATAGTGAACTGATTGCTTTATACAAAGTTTGTAGCTTTCGTTGAGAAGATCAGGCACATGGTACAGTTGGAATATTATTTTAAAAAATTTTTGAGTCTCCTCAAAACTTGACATAACTTCCTATTCAGAAAAAAAAAAAATCAAACACACACAAGAAAAGAAAATAACAAAAAAAAACCCTACCCCACCCCGCCCCCACCCAAAAGTCAAAACCCTGTTAACTGTCTGCTTAAATTTACTTAAAAATGAGTCTTAAACACATGGTTAGAATTAAGCAAATGCTTTACTTGCTTCCCTGATCAAATATGTAAGTGCATTTACAAACCACTGCCTTAGGGAAGTGGAGCGCAGTATAGGACAGTAAAGGTAAATCCATTACAGCAGAATGAATGCCCATAGGTCTTTAAATGCTGATACACTTCTGGTTGGGTATGGGCCATAATGGAGGTTAGACATGGTATTTCAAACCAGTAATCTTTTAGTGTTTAATGCACCTGTGCCTATAAATTAATTAAGTTTGGTTTGTTTGTTTTTTTTTCCCAGCAGAGGGAAAAAACTTTGCCAATCCGAAACACGTGTAAGAGAAGGGGAGTAAATTAAAAGTACTGCAGTATTATAGTCAGTATACAGCCTTGTGGGTTCTTTTGTCTTATCTGGTACAAAATCATAAGCGTCTTGTATTCCTTCATTCTGGCTTTCTGTGCCAAGACATAACTAGGGTTGCAACTTTGGGGCAACTTCCATGAATCACATCTCACTCAGAGGTGATGCTTTCACAGGCACCTGCTCTGACCTGATCTCCCCAGCCTCTAGAAAGGACCAGCACATTTTCTGCACTCAGAAAGTCTCATAGGATGAATTATTATTGAGAGTGGAAGACCAGTTGTATGTTTGATAGTTGCTGTCATTTAAACTCACTTTTGTCTCAGATGAACATTTAACAAAAAAGCACATCTAGCACCTGGGACCGGCTCCTTTGAAAGGGCAGTTCATTTCCCTTCTCCTTCCCTGTTGCCATGGTTGCCATCACAGCAGGACTTGGCCTCAGACACAAAATCACTCATGTAAAAGAAAGGCTATGAAAACTCCTGAGGTTTGAAACTCACTCAAACCCAGTCCAAGCCAGTCCCAGCACACTGACCTTTTGGGCATGTCAGAGGGCCCCTTTTTCACTAGCTCAGAGAGAAATCATCAGGAAATTGTGCAGGGGGGTATGCAGTGACCTGGAGGCTTCTCCAGGGCTCCTCCACCAGTGAGGACCCCAAACTTGCCTCCCAAAGGAATTAAGGGCCATCACAAGTCTCCCTGCTTTCTTCTCCAGATGCAAGGTGCAATCCTTAACCTGACATCTCTGCATCAGAGCAGAGTGCTGTTTAAGAAAAATTCTCAGACTCTACTAACAAGTAAAAGAAATCAAATAAAAAGCTTTTTACCTCACAGATCATTCCTTCTCTGGGGAGAGATGGAGAGAAGCAGCAAGCCATACATGCAATTCTTAGCTACACTGCTTGACACGACAAGGGAATGCAATTAGACACTAAACGGAGCTGAGATTTTGTTGAAACATAGTGTTTTGAACATACGTTTACCTACAGAAGTAGCTGTGTTAATTACTGAACAAGCTGACTTTTTACCATTAATTAATATTTTCTTCCCTTTTCCTTTTTTTTAATTGAATGAGCATGTAAGTTGAAATAAATATAGAAATCTGCTTCTGATATCGTACAAATGGCTTCCCTTTTCCCCACTGCATGCCCCAAATGGTGATAGCAGAATGCTATGTGATACCTAAGGTGAAGCAAGGAAAAGTAAAATGACTAATCCCAATAACTCCTGGCTTTCAGTGCTCAGCTGAATTCTCTGTAGAGGAAACCTGCCCTGATGACTATAACTTACCTCTTCTCGATGTTCTTCTCCAGAGCGCTGAATATACCACCTAATAGAGGCTTGTTGGGACTTAGGAATACATTCCAGAAAAGTTGAATTAAATTCAATGCCAAAAATCACCTTTTCATCAGCAGTTTCATGACTAATGCCTGGAAAGCAAACATGGTACAGGAGATTAACCCTGACCTGCTTTTTAAAGCAATGGGAAAATAGCCTGATTCAGAACAGATGCTATAAGAGTGAGTGAATTATAAAAAAGCAAAAGGAAACTTAACTTTTAGCTTAAACTATAACTATGAGGATTTAGAGGCAGCTGCTAACCTTCTTTCAGTGCAACTGGTTTTTAAAGAGGTCAATAAAATCTATATCATGAGCTTGCTCCATTTTAATGTTGGGGCTTTCACCTTTGAGGAATTTAAAATCTGACCTGTGTTTTTCCTTAAAGTAACGTAACTGCTAAACCTGAGCTAAAGCTGCCAAAGTTAGACTGTATGGTCTCGTCTGTTCATCCCAAGCACTTTAAAGGAGTCACAGGGCTAAAGTAAACTGAAGTTTACCTTCCTTCAGTGTAATTTGAAATGCTCTGTAGTATGTTTCAGACCAAACACTGAAGGAACCATGAGATCTGGACTCCTTTCTTGTCTTCTGTAAATCTGAGCAAATAATTTCTAATCTCTGCATCTTCATTCCCCTTTTCAATCTGTTTTATCTGTGTCTTATCTATGTTTTATCCGCCTTAGTATCAGACTAAAGTTGTTTCTTATGCCCTGCGAATAACAGAAAGGAAGGTGACAGCAGTGGTGTCTCCTAAGTCAAAAGTTAGCTCAAGAGCAAAATGAATGCAGTTTTGGATTATGCTTTCAATATAATAAGTACCTATATGAGATCTATAGAAATTCAAGCTCTGCACATTATTTAACTGTGCCACTGAGATTTCAGTAGAGCCAAACAACTTCGTGCAGCCAATGAAGTCTCTGGGAGGGAATCTCACACACTGGAGCTCTAAATTTAAATAGGTTTGGGGGCCATAATGTTACTAATTATCGCAAGTGGCATAAAAAAGCCAAGAGCCTGGAGTGACACAGGTCAGCTTCACAGTTTTATGGCACACAGGAGTCATCTCCAGTTGGGTAAAATTGCCATTAGTGGTACTACTTTGGGCAAAGAATTAATACCAATTTCTGTGCTAAGTCCTTTTAGATTTGTCCAATAAAGCTAACTCTTCCAGTATCTCTTTATCCTTCCAGGAAAACGTGACATTGTCAGCATTTCTGTTAGGGTTTCTATAACCTTGAGCTTTGCACAGTCTCAGATACCAGTGTTTGGACAGCCATGACAAGAAGCAAGAGAAGAAATTCTGGCCCTTGGGATGAACAGGAGTTTTGTCTTTGATGGAAATGAGATCTTACCCTGACTTTTTAACTATGTCTGCAAGCACACATGTATAGTCAGATCCCTCTAGACTGTGCAACAGACTTCAGGCTTTGATCCCATGGCAAGCAGCTCTGATTTCTGCACTGCCTCCCACTGAGGTCTGCAGCAGGCACCCAGCACCGCAGCGGCATGGAATAACCAGAGATCAATGGAAAGGAATGGCTTGTCCCAAAGCCAGTGTTCAACGTGGTGATACAATCAATACTGTTTTGTCTGGGTTGTTCACTTTAATAAGCAGTAGAAGAACCCCAGACAAAGCCATGCCTGGGTTTGAATGCTATTCATTTATTTTACGCTGCCGCAGAGTTCGCCGTGTAACCACAGGGTTTCATACTGACAGTGCTCGCTGCAAGAGAAGGGCTGCAGATGCCAAAGGAGCAAGTCAGACCCTTTGGCATCTGAAAAGAGGGTGTGGGAAAGGGAGGGGAAAGCCAGCAGGGAGAAGGGGGGTAGGTTCTTGTTAATAACAGGAGTATTTAAGTAGCTGCGGGAAGGGGAAGGGGGTGGTTTGGCAGATGCAGCTGAGCCTTGGGACCTGTGTCAAGTGTCTGTGGCAGAAGGGGAGAAGATGGTGTGTTCCCCACTCACCCCTGTGGGTTTCCTTGTGGAATTAGCTGTCCTGTTTCTAGATGAAACATCACGCTCATCCCATTAGCTACTTTTAGGGATCTGTGTGATGTTTTGGTGTCAGGGGCACATCTCCCTGCCCTGTGTGAGTGCTAGGGAGGGTGATCCACAAGGGATGCAAGCATGCTGTCCCATGCTGGCTGTTGCTTACCAGCCCTGGATCTGCAAATTTAACTGTGGGAGGGGTAATGGATATGAAGTGTGGGAAAGGCAACTGTTCCGTTGAGCTCAGCAAGTTTTTGCAGACAGACACAGACCTTCATAGCAAACTCTGTTGTCTAAGTTACAAAAGAGCAAGAAAGGTGAAAAATACTCACTGTCTTCCACATCCCAACATTGTGCAACAGGGTCTCCATACTTAACATCCTGCCTTCTGGCTCGCCTATGGGAAGAGCATGCAAACTTGTAACACTTCAGACATAATTGCTGGAATTCAACAACAAAATACAGAGGAGCTCAACAGATGTGGACTTGCATTGCTCCCACCCTACTGCTGACAATTACAGTCTTAACTAAAACCAGCCTTACCCTCAAAGCAGCATGTGGCCTAGAGAGATTTGTACAATTGACATCAAGAGAAGAGCCTGTGATTTGGGAAAACCACTGGGAGGGGAAACAGAAAAACGAAAAGAAAAAAAATCTACCTAAAATAAAGAGTGTGTAATACAGTGACAGAAAGAGTGTCTAAACTTGCTTTAGGAGCATAGGTCTCTTAGTTGGACTGTCTTGGAAATACCTAAAAACATCCTTAATATTAGAGATCATGAAAAAGATTTGAGGTTTAACAGGTGATATTCAAGATTGAGCTCAGGATTAGCCCAAGGTAATACTGACTAGTAAGTCAATCATTAAAATGAAGAGAGAAAAGGATAGTCATTTTACTTTGTAAAAAAACCAATTTACAAATCTGTTTATCTTTCATCTTTGTGTACAGAAAGACACAAGACAATGGTCTGAGAGGATCTACGCCCTTCCACAACTAATTTGCCTGCTAATCTCTGTGTGTTACTTAAATTCAATCTGATTTACTTTCATTTTAGTGTAATAGCACTAAAAAAAAGAAGTAAGCTCTTCTTTTGTATATGATTGTGTTTATCTTCCAAGAGCTACGAAAAAAGTTTTCATTTTAATTTTTCAGTAGGAAAATTGGAGATCCAGGAAGGAACTGATTGTTTCCTCACAAGCAACTGCAGTGGGACCCCCTGTGTGCAGAGCAATGCCTCTGACAGAGAGCAGGTTCCCAAGTTTGACCTGTCCACTGTGCAAAACCTGTAGACATGCTGGAAGCACAGAAGGAAAATATTCAAGTAACTGATCTCCTGGAGGATTCCCAGGGCCAGTCAACCATCCTTTGTTTTGGAGCCATGGACTTTTGGCCTCCCCACCAAACTGCACATCTGTTAAAAAGCATGGACCATCAATCTCTGTGTCTCAGCCCACCTTCAGCAAGCCTCATGTGTCACTAACTTTGCAGTGAGCCTGAACACTTGCTTTTCTCCTTTCATTTATGCTTCTCTGAATTTAGTTTGCTTTGGCTATGAGGGAAAACACATAAAGTTCCTTGACACCATAACCTATGAGTCATTAACTTCAATGGTTTTTCTAATTGCTCAGGACCCAGCCCTGTGACCCTTAAGGTAGAAAGTGTCATTCCAGAGTCTGAGCTCAGACTTCAACCTCACTCACTGCAAGAATTACTGTCTGGAGGGTTTTGTTGAAAGGGGAATGAAGAGGCTGTGAGGGACTCTGGTTCCAGCTAAATCTCCCAAAAACTTCAAGAGACGCATCCAGCAGCTTAGGCACTGAGCTGCTAGAGCCTGCAGTGTGGTCTTCCTCTATCCAGATCCATGGTGCTCTCCCAGCTGGTGGGTACAGATAATTCAGATGAAGTTTCTTTCACTGTAGAAAGGCTGCTCCCAGTGTGGTCAAATCATGGGACTTAAATCTCTGTCTCCCTCTCATGGTTAGACCACAAATACAACTGTTCAGTTTGGTCAGGGAATTAAATGTATTTTATTATTGACCACTCTGGGATACTATGTTAAAGTCTGCTTTCTAACTACAGTGGTGTCCTATGAAAAAGTCAGAAGCTTAAGAGAGGCTCTCGCCTCTTGGGCAGAGTTAGCCACAACCTGGACCTCCATCTGAGCATCTCGTGCCTTAAGGCATTCAGCATAAAAAAAGGAAAGTGATGGATTTATGATGTTCGCTGCAGTAGCCAAGTTACTGTCACACACACTTAAACAAAGCTATGTTGTCTTCACAGCTCTTTGAGCAGAAATGTGAAACATGGCCAGAGTATGATCACATTTTAAGGCAAATGACATGCTAAGTAAGAAAAGCAACAAGTTATGAATTGGAACATCTAAAGTTCTTTCTAGCAGCAAGATCTTTTACAGCATGTTGAGTTTTTTTTCTTACCTTTTAGAAGTGGGGGCATATCTGGAACAAGAGTTTCCATCCCAGGCACAGTATGGGTCTCTGGCAAGGCAGCAGTCTGCACAAGCCTTCCCATACGTGTGACATCTGTGCAAAGAGAGCTGAACCAATCCATCCCTGGAACCAATGTACAATTGTTGCTGCAAATCAGGCAAAGCAAATTAATTAGGAGTGTTCTCCAAGCAGCCTGGTTAAAAAGTTCCCTTCTTCATTGTCACAGTTGCAGACTTTCAATCTTATCCCAGATTTTACAAAACAAGGGAGAATTCCCCATTACTATAAGATGTTTCTCAGGGTTCAATGTGAATTGGCCAGTCTCCCTCCATCTCTGACACAACAGAGCAGAGAGGAAAGGGGACTGCAGTCCTGGAAAGACACCAGCACTCAACACCCTTACACCTTTAGATTTGTGCTGTAATAAAAAAATCAGAAGCAAATAATGGAAAGAATGGTTTAATAACACATTTAAAAACAAGGGGCTGGATAGCCATGGTATTAAGAATCTGGAAACCAGGGGTGACCTTCTGTGAATAATACCTCATCTTCTGCTTCTGATCCTTAGGTAGGATGGGGATAATGTTACTCCCCTCTCCCCAAAGTGTGAGTGGATTGCCTGTTGAGACAAGGGTGGTCCAAGCTGGAACTGGCTCATGCAATACCTCCAGCTGGCCTGCCACCTTTTTTCAGGGGAGATGAGACCCAGCTGTGCTGTGCTGTGCGTGCCTGAAAGGCAAAATACCTCCTTCCATGTGAGGGAGGCGTGTTGTGCCAGAGCTGCTCTGACCACTGCTGCAGGGCAAGGAGGGATGGCTCTGGTGTCACGCTGCTTTCCAAGCATGCACGTAGCCGTCATAGAGCTTGGAGCTGCCATAAAACCATTTCCCATCAGGAGATACCCTAATGGGACTGGCCCCTGCGCTGCCAGGGTTGGACCACCCAGATTTAGGCTGCAATTTTAGAGGACTGGTTGTGCGCACACAACTTTTAGCACAGTGAGGCCCTGATTTCTCTCGACTACTAATAAAAATAAAAACAATAATAGTAATAATAGTTTATTACCAGGTTGTAAAGAGACAAGCATGTCTAGGGGCCGAAAAAAGAATGCGCATTGACTTCACTCACAAATCCCACTACCATATGACTAAAGATTTGTTTCCCTGAATAATTACCAGCTTGGGTACACAAATTACTGTTTGTAAGCAAACATGAAATTAGGCAGGCAAACAAGTGCAAACATATCTGCTTCCTTCCAGATACATGTTAAGACCCATCCATGGAAAGCCTGGCCAGTAGGTAACAAGTGTCATCTGAAAATAAGTTTAGTGTTCAGTGTACCACATATCCTCCAGTAATTAAACAAACTTGTGATTACCTGCTTCTGAGAAATCTCCATGGTTGAGATAAATGAAGGATGCTGAAAAATAAATTGGTAAGGTCTATTAGTTTTCAAATGCTCTGTTCTTAGTGAAAAAGCAGAACTTAGTGTACAAAAAGTAAATAAAATTACAGATTTGTTTGCTTGGTTTAAACAAATATGAAAAAGAAAAAAACAGAAAATCATGACTTTCATGGTTCCAAAAAGAACTCCCATAAATTTCCCCCACTGAAAGGAGGGAACTGGCTTTAATTCCTAGAGTTTGCTATCTATTCCACACTGGGCAATGAGCCGTCACATCAACTTTAGTTCTTATTAAGCACTATTTGAAAGGCTTAGATGCCATTTAAGGGATACATAGGCAGATCCTCTGCACCAGGATGTATTTCACTGCCATAAGAGACAGTGAAATTTTTGCCAGTGACTGATGTAAGAACAGCAAAAAGCTCAGGGTATTATCTAACACCAAACAGAAGATGATTAATCTAAGCCTATTGTTTAATACTAATGCAGTTTGAGGAAATAAGGCACCTTTTTTTTCAGCCATTCACCCCCTTCAATTTTTCTGGATTCAAAAACAAAGAGATAACAGTTATAAATGTTACCAGTAAAAATGTGAAGGAATGTCTGCTGAATAGAAAAAAATAACCTCTTTTTTGTTTTAAATATGATATGGTACATTTTCCCTTGATGTTATGTTTTAAGAATGCGTCAAATCGGTGCACATACTAGAACTGCTGACTACTTGGCAGGCACTGAGTATTCTTGGTATTTTCTGAGTAATATTTATAATTGGTGTCCAAAACAGTGGGAAGAAGACATACAGATCCTTTCAGTCAAAGTTTCATTATACACATGGCACATCAAAAGGCATATGGAGAAATGAACTCTGAAATAATTGTTAATGATCCTGTCCTTACACTTGGAAAAGTCTTTAAGTCCTAAATTAATTTATTCAGTATGGGTAAAAATTTGGGCTAAGACCCTGTATAGCACATAGGATGTGAGAAAGTAATCAAAATGCCATGTGTGCAGACAAAAAGTTGAAAAGCAAGGTGAAAACTGAAGAACAGCTATATTGCATGAGAAGAAAGCAACACAAAGAATGAAGAAGAATCTGATAAATCAAAAACAAAATCAGTAGGGAAGACAAAGGCCTCCAGTTTCCTGATGTATTGGCATGTTGACATCATCTCCCTCACCAGCACTGAAGCTAATCAGAAACTGTGTCTGTGCAACAGAGAGAATCTTGGGCCTTTTACAAGCTGCATTTATGAAGAAGGCATTGGTGTTAGTGGGGCTCCAGTTACACAATAACCAAATCAAAATGGTCAAAAATATTGAGTCAGCCTTCACCATCAAATTAAAGCACATTGATAATCAAAACTAACTTTGCTTTATTTTCCTTATGTTTTCAATTCCTAATGTTGCTATGTTAAAGACTTTCTCTGCACCTGTGAAACTTTGTCTGTTTAAAAAAAAAAACATAATTGTGCCTAGAATACTCCCGTATCACTAGGGCTCATAGAAAATTTTACATTAAAAATAAAATACTACTAATAAAAACATTTGGGCTCAAAATACGATTTCAGACTAGAACAAAAAAAGAATAAATGAGATTTTTCTCTAAGTCTGAAAAATCACGGTCTGTTTGGTTTTGGACATTTTTCAACTGACTTGCCCAAAAATACCAAGGGGTTTAAAAATTTACATAGTGTCCCTCTGGAAACTTGAACTAGTTCCAGTAAACAAAAAACCAGACAGACAAAGCCGATTTAGGCCATAAAGTCCCCTGAATAATATTTAATTGATGTTGTGGCTATTAATGCTTACCTTGAATATCTGCAGCTCTTCCAGGACCACCTCCTCCTTAGTCCACTTCTCCTTTGTGATACTCACAACTTTCAGGACTGTGCCTATGTCTGAAACAAATGTTCATCATGTAAAACCCACAGTCATGTTTCAATACGTATGGGCCACTCCATTTCGTGCCGTGTGGATAAAGCTAATCCATCAGGGATGTAGCTTTCAAAGAACATCTATCCCTATTGCATCCACTGCTATCTACAGAGCTCTACACAGTACATTTATGGTTTTACTGTATGGCTGAGCCAAGACTGCTCCTGGCAGGGATGGTCTAATGCTCCTGCTACACAAACACAGACAAACATGTCCATGCTGCCAGCTAGAATTTTATGCACATTTCCCTAAGCCGCAATTGGGGCCCATCTGACCCCAAAAAGAGCCAGCTCAGGGAACTAAATTGGCAAAAAATTATTTCCTCTTTTTTATAGAATTATTTTGCTTCCAGTATAGCCCCTTAATCAGAAGTAAGTTTCATTTTAATGTGAAGAGTTAAGCAATGCACTTTTTTCATTTATCTTTTAATTTAAAGAAATATTTGAACAAGATCTCCATTAAGCATTAAAATCTTAATTTAATCATTACAGAAATTATTTCTTTGAAGTTAACTAGAGAATTTTTTTTAAGTTAAATCTATTAATAAATTTTAACCTGTATTCCTGTTTGGTGAAAAAATAATTTGCTCATTTCATGTCAGACCATTAGACATAACTGAACCTTGAATGGTCTTATAAAGAACTCAAAAAATGCTCAGGGGAAGTGGGTTGGGGGTGCTGGGATGTGGAAACAACACCGTGCAGCTTGGTCCTAAGCATTATGAATAGTATTGAAATTATGAAAAATAATACATTCTAATGGAAAGAATGAGACTTGCATTCTTGTTTTCTTAAACTACTGAAGATCATATTACCAATCAAAGCCAAAATTGTTTCAGTTTGCCTTATATATTAGAGCTTTTTTCAGTGTTTGTTTGACATAATTGCCAAAGCCTGCATATGTCCAAGTTGGTTGTGTACATTCAAACATATAATAAGCTACTGATTCGCTGCTGCTCAAAACTTCCTGGGTTATGTGTTATATCCATATTCAGTCTCTCTGTGTAATATTTGGAATTTCATCTTTAAGTTCATTTTTTTCCTTATGACAAGTTTAAAGGAGAAAATAGAATAAAACTATGTACTTCTGGAAAAGAAAACTCACTTTTAAGGAAGGCACTGGAGAAAAATAAATATCTGCATATTATGGAGTGCCATCTAGTGACTGCATGGTACTTGCTGGCCTTGACACCTCTGAACCCAACTATTTATAGTTGCAGAGTTACTATTAGTGCTGATCAGGAGCAGTTAACCTGGGAGTATTCAAGCTGCTGGTCCCTCATTATAATTTTAGTCCTATGAAAAACTTTATAATGGAGGACAGCAAACATCTGAAAGCAACCTCTATAGCCAGTAAAAGATTTTGTACATTTTTACAAATGAACTCCTTTTTTCAGACAGCTAAATTTCAAATTACTTTTTCTCACTATTATCAGAAGGAAAGCAAGTTGTAGTGAGAACTCCCAAATCCTAGGCATGGTAGAGTTTAGGAATGGGTTCCCTTTCTTTCTTTGTTGACTGCATTAAATATTGCTTTCAGAAAGCAACAAGAATTTTACATCATCATGGCTAAAGCTCATTCCCAGTCTTCTCAGTCAGAAGAGGAGAAAACAGCACTGTGCTTTTCTCCTTTCTGACTCCACTGTACTGACTTGTGGGGATCATAGAGGGACTCTCACATTGTCTTTTTTTTGGAAGACAGGAGTTGTGAAACATGTTTTGCTGAAAGACATACACGGTCCAAGAGAGAGGCTATCTGTGGACTCGTGTGTGTGATAATGCAGCTGGGAAACTTGTGAAGGCTGAGACATTCCACACTTTAAAAGAGACAATGCTCTGGGACAATTCACTCCTTTCCCCAGAATACTTCAGAATATCCATACCCATCAAACTGTGCTATATGACACAAAATTTGCTCATAGGGCATATAAAATGCTATGTAACCCCACAGCACTGGGGCAGGATTCAAACTGAAATCTTAATTTCCCTGCAGCTCATGGCAGTAGCTCATCCACTGCACTTGAATAAACCCTGTCACCTCCATATACCTAAGTTTCACCTTCTGTAAGATGGGGATAATGATAATGACCTCTTTACTAAAACACTCAGATCTACCAGTGAGAATTGCTTTATAAGACCTATATAGAATGAGAGTGAGAGAATGTCAAATTACGGATTAAGAACAAAAAATTCCAGTGGAGTAAAATTGTAGATTATTACTTCAGAAATGTTATGAATAGGTATATTAGTATTTCTTAGCACATCTTCCTATTGGGTGGTTCATCCAGTGATTCTAAATTTAATTACTATGGTAAAACTAGACTTTTTCCTTCAGGCATATGTCTAAAAATGCATATAGATACATAATTATCCATAGAAAACCTGCAAAACAGTCTTTTTCCCTGACAGAGTAGTTTAACCTCTCTCTGCTCAATCCTGGTTGTCATGTTTGGAGCTATCATGTTCCTAATTTATATCTTTAAAATTGCTTGAGTAGAATTGTTGCCTTAGGCTCAGTTTGAAATCTTTCTTAACTGTTCAGTGTCACATGAGATATAATGCTGAAGCACCACACCACTACTAATAATAGGAAGTACTCCTTGAAGCTATTAAGGTTATTTTTTTTCCTTTTAATTGTTTATTGATGTGCTTCCAGCAGGAATTGGAGCCAGAGTACCAATGTAAAGACAGGTACTGAATGGTATTGGAGGATAAGAAAGTCTAGGTACTCTAACCCTTAACTGATTTATCACCTAGGTACCAGGAGGCAGGCATTCAAATCCCAAATGTAATAATCCCTTGATTAGTCTAGTCAGCACTTTCATGAAGACCTAAAACAGAAACAAGTGCACCTAAATGTTTCCTAAAGCTGCGTGCATAGGAAAGAGATGTTAATCAATAGGTTTATTCAGGACCTGCTGGGCTAAAAGTATTCTAAAAGGATGTGGCTTGTGTACATTGACAGTGGAAGTCTTCTCTCATACCTGTTCCTAGGAAGATAACATCATATTGCCCGTCCTCTGCCATGACGTGATCCACCACAATCTGAGTCAGGCGATAATCCACGTTGATCCGAGTGAACACCGGCGCTCCCGTCACTGGGTAAACGGATTTGTACATCAGTGGATGGCGTTTAATAAAGCTAATGACTTCGTCAGGGAAGTCTCTGGTAGACTTTATCAGTGGATCGTAGGTTTTGCTTGGACACTGAACGAAAGAGAGAGAACAAGAAGATGAGAGTAATTTAGGAAAGAAGTGCAAATAGAAATCAAGTTTTCCATGAGAAGATTTGTGAAACCACTAGGAAATCAGATTTTTCAGTGATTTTTCTCATCCCAAAATAGCACTTGGTCACCAATATTTAATTTTTTTAAAGCACTGCTTTAAACCCAGAGAAATTCCCATGATGGGCTCAGTGTGTCCACAATGAATTCCACCTTCTCATTCCCAGCCACACTCACAGGCAAAATATCACATTGTGTATTTTACAAAGACAAGGAGACTGAGACTGGAGGGAAGGAGACCTGTCATGCACGCGGTTAAATTTGCTACATGCTGGTCTACCAGCATATGGGGCCTCCAACAGCAAGACTGGGGTGCCCTCCTGTGGCTGCTGTGGGATGAGCTCAAGTGTTTGAAGTGCAGCATCTCAAGGTTTTTCTGTTTTTAATATTTCTGCTCCTCTTTTCGTGGATGAATTTCTGCCCTGCTGATGCAGTGAGTCAGTGAGGAAGATTCTCTCTGGTGTGTCCTGATGTTGGACTAACACTTGGTTTCTCCTGGGAGATCCACTCAGATCCTTGTGGCAGAAGGCCCCTAGTAAATTCTTCAACTATGTTCATTTTTCCAGACTGAAACACCCATATCTATCTTTATATGGCAGGAAATAAGAAACCATAACTTTTCAGTGACTGCACCTCCTCCACCTTGCACTTTTTTTCTCAAAAAGGCAGATTCTGCTGATACCAGATGATCCCTATAGCCTTTATTTCTCAAAAGCAGCATCCTTTTCTCTAGGTTTGAACAGCACCGTTTTGTCCTCTTTTGGTCCAGACAACCTGCTACAGCACTTACTCCTTCAGATATCTCCCCAGTGTCTAATTACTCTCATCTCTCTTAGACCCATACTGACAAATTAATCACTTCAGCTGTCTCTTCTACTTACACAAGTAAGTTGGTTCTCACATATCCCACACATCACACATCCTATAAACCTACCTCTTTGATCTCCATCCAGTTTTTCCCTTCTCTGCTTTTTGGGGTGAGGGCAGGAACATATTTGAAGATGAGTCATGTTGATGAACCAAGATCTCTCGTGCTCACCTATCTCTGCTTTTCTTCCCATGGCAATTTGCATCTCTTTTCTGTCCCTAGTTTTACACTTAGTCTCTAATCCAAGTTTGAGAAAACTTCTGTTTTGAATCTGGAGGCATCTAAATGTGTTAATGGGGCACTAGAAATCCTGAATAAGAATAAGATGAACTAGACACACTGGACACAAAGGGTGTTGGTGACATCCTTTTACATATAAACTGATTGCTTCTTCTTTAATACTATTTTTAAGTAAGCAATCCCTGTGTTTTCTGCCAGGTGGAGCCCTAACACAGTCTGTGAAGAAAGAAATGTGATCAAGTAATGCCTTCAAAGTCTGTCAGGAGAAAGTTAAGATTTGTTGTGAAGTTGCTATATGGTTCTCCTTCATGGCAAATTTGACAGAGACAACTTCAGTTCACACTCCCACCTCTCCAGTTTGACATGTGTTGAATCTATGGTGACAGCTAAGGGCTTGTGGTTAGGATTTGTTCCACTGTGAAAGGTTTGGCATTATCCAAAACATTTGTATTAGGAACAACACACTCAGTGCCAAAGCCTGAGCTTGTCCTTCCTTCCATTGCTGGTAAACTCCCTTCTCACAGCTGTGCAACATCAGCCTCTAGCAGAGAATCCGTCCCCATGAGCTCAGTACTAGCCAGGATCTGTGTCTCCCTTGGGTTTCCATGGGCTGCTCTCTCGCTGGGCTGAGGGATGCACAGAGATCACCCTGTGATAGTGCTGGCTATAAAGGAAACGTAGCCCCTGCCCCACAAACACAGGTAGGGTGTGCACATTCCTGGGGATGAATTCCTCATGAAGTAGATACAGCTAATACAATGCAGAAGGATTCTCATCATACACAGTTCTATGTGTACATGTCCCTGTATAAATACCTTAAATGCAAAGGTAGTAGCAACTAAACACAAATTTCTGACTGAGAAAAATGTTCTCAAAAATATCAGAGACTACTAGTTTCTATATTCAGAAACTAAACAGGACAGTGAAGCACAGATCAGCTGATGTTCTACGTCCACATCTATGGCCACACCTGAAATGTCTGTTGGGGTCAGTTCCTGCTCTACCTTAGACCCCAAACACTGCCACAGCACTGCCACAGGGAGGGTGCCATTTGGAGAAAAGTCTATCCTAGCATTAAACAGCACCATGACTATTGGGTTTGCACTTGAACCTGACCTCTGCTTTTATTTAACTGAGTTATAGCTTGTGTGATTTAACAGTCTACAACCTATTTGCATTCCTTGTTTGGACTGAATTTTACAGCTATCTAGAGACCTCACAGACTTTGTGCAAGTGTCCACTTGCTTAGTGTTGTTTCAATTCCTAAGAGTTAAGCCTGTGCATCCCCATCTTCATAAAGAATCTGAAATGTTTACGGAAAAAAGGTCTTAGGCTCCTGCATCACCTAATAGATTTTGGCAATTTCCCCGCGAACAGCAAACCCGTGTCAGTTTGAATTAAGATAAATTCCATCACATATTCAGTGGTTTTGTTTCATTATACAATTTCATGTATGGCTGTGAAAGAACAGACAAGAGAAAAATAAAGGGTTGTATTGTTCTGTGATAACCGCTCAAAAGACAGTTGAATACAAGCAAGAAAGAAGAAAAGTCCTACTGAAAAAACCCAGTTCCGTTGGAACCACATATTGCAGTGAGCTATCCCTAGGGAGTTTCTCTCAGCAGCCCTGTAAGAACTTCACCCTCTGGCTTGCTAGGTATGATCTCCCACATTCTGTTTTCTGCTGTGCTTTCATGAATTAAAGTCTTTGCAAGGTTACATCCTTGAGGTGGGCTGTAGTCAGCTTGGTTTTGAAGATAACAATATCCATTGAATAATTTCACAAAGAAATACGACTTTGGGACAAAAAATAGACTTCGAGATAAAAAAAATAAAACAAACCATAATAAGGAATAAATGTTTCAGACAGCACAATAACTACCCAGAAACCAAATCATGTGTACAGTTTCTGTACAAGCAGTAACTCAGGAATGAACATTTTCATCTTACCTTAAGAACAACTGAGATCCGAGTCTTTGTCACTTATACTACAATTAGACCTCAAAAACCCTAGTGACTTCAAAAGGATGTTCACCTTTACAGTTGTTGCACAAAAATTTGTTGGAATAAATAGAAATAAACTTGCATTACAACTTTGTGTTTGGATCAAACAAATTCACTTCTTCTATTCCTCAACCATGAAACAACACTCTTCCCCCCCACTATGTACTTGAGGTTGATTTTCCCTTGTATGTCCACTTTCCATAGTTCATGCTCTCACTTACTACACTGAGTTACCATGAGCATCTTCTGGAAATCTGCTAATTGCTCACCTTATCCACAGCTCAATCCCAGAAGTCCATTTCTGTGTGAAAAATGGAAATAGCCCCTTGGGTCTAAAAGATATCCTAGATTTTTGCCAAAAACATATCAACAGAGGAAGATGAAAGCAATGACATCACTCATTAAAAACCACTAGGATAAAATGTCTAACAATATGGAACTAGAGAGCTGCTACAGTAATCCCAAAGGCCCAAACCCTACCATGCATGATACAGGGAAATCTTTTGCCAGTTTGCACAGTTAATTTAGTAGAAACAAGGACTAAGGGTCTGATTAAGAGATCTGCTTAAGTCAACAGGGCCTTTTCCAATTATTTCAGTGGGTTTTGGATCCTATCCTAAGGCAGCACGACCACGAAGAGCAGCTGGGCAGGTGTGACCCTGTTGTGCTTGGCTGAGGGAGTTCTTTCCAGAGGCATCACTCACTGTGGCACGATGGATGGAACAGGGGAATGAGAAATTCATTTTGGCCATCCTTTGGCAAAGTCCTCAGGCCGTTGTTTAATGCTGTGTCCACCCATCACTGCAGAACAATTCCTGTAAGCTTATGCTTCCTTTCCTGGCTATCAATGGGATGTAGGATGATAAAAGCTGCGTGGACAAGTGGGTGAGTGAAGCAACCTTTCATCTCTGAAAATGTGAGTTCACATCCTGTTGCAGGTCTCATGATAATGATACCAGTGTTCTCTGCCCAGGTCACAGAGGACACTTATTCACATCATCAGCACCAGATGCTGTCTCAGATACGTGACATCTCCCACTGGAGATAATAAGAGATTGACTTTTATATCAAATGTCACAGGAGTAGGTTGGCAGAGTTGTTTCATGTGGACTACAAGAGAATCTGGCTCCATAAAAGTTCTTATAACACCATCGCTGTGCTCTCTCAGCATTTTCTGCTTTTGCAATAGGGTGGGATTCATCTCTCCTGACTTAGATTCTTATCTTGGCTGTGTGTGAACTGCACAGAGGGAGTGTCTATCTTTTTCTTTCTGATAAAGAATTCTAAACAACCAGCTCATGTGTGATGCTTTTCTTCTAGATAGCTGACATCAAGTAAAGTTTATCATATTAAATTAGTCAAATTAGTACTGTTAGATAAGAATTTTGCTGGAAATTCGTTCACTATATAATTTATTCTTGAGGTTGCTTAGGCCTTTCCTGCCATGAATGATAACTTGGTACAAATATACATGTTAAGAAACGAAAAATAAACAGAACAAAACAACAACAGAAGAAAAACCCCAACAAAAACAGAGCTGGTAGTGCTAAGGGCATCTCTATTCAACTGCTCTCTAAACTCTGTGGTACAAAACTTTTAAGGAATCAATACATTAGTTTCTTGAAGTTTTTGAAATGCCTTCTGTGTGAGCTCAATTTGACAATAATCACTCTGGATTAAGTCCTGATCCCAGGTGATCTACAGAGATGCCTTTTATTCTCTCACCTGTTATTTGTATCCAAAAGTAGTCATGAGGTGGTAAGTTAAGGCTAATCTTTCTCAAATAAAAGCAAATGCACAGTAAATTAACA